CTCTGTATGAGCCACTGAAGAAACCGATTATCAAGGTTCCGAACTTCGCCAAAACATAACATCTTTACCCTGATGGATTTGCGCACTAATCCACTGTGGACCACAGACAGCGATCAAATGCGTGCTCTTGTCCTTCTTCTTCACAATCTGCACAAGCTTCTCGCAAACGGACCGATCTCTATCCACACGGTCGTAGTTCTCCGAGCAGACATATGTAATTTCATCCAGATCTTCTTGAGTGAAACAAAAGTTAAATTCGACGCGTAAGTGTTGATCTGGATGACGCTCGCGGAAGACCCCATCGTGCTCCTCTGAAGCTGAACTCGGGGTGCCGCACAGAATCGCGGCTCCATTCTTATTCCCCTCGCGGCCAGGATTTTTCATGCTCTCGCGTCGACCATTGAACATCGTTGTCGAAGGGGACTTCTCAACCCCTAGTCTTCTCTAGGGGGACTCGAACACAGTTCGAACTCGGAAAATTTCCGCGGAGACGGGACACAGAAATTCCGCCGTCGACTGAACTCAACTTCACCGATGCACCTTTTTGATCGAGAGATGAAAAGGAAATCCTATTCGAGAGTTCTTCAAAGGTTTTCTCGAGACCATAGGCGAGTTCTCGACAAAATTCGATAACGAAAGCTCGCGAGACACTCGGAAGAATGCTGAGCTTCCGCAAAGGCGATATCGTATACGAAGAGGAACCCTACGCGAGCGTGGTACGGGCGGAGAGGTTGCTTGATACCTGTAATCGGTGTTTTGCTCACTTCTGTATTCTACCATGCAAATGTGAAACTTGCTCAAAGGTGTTTTACTGCTCATCTGAATGTCGGGTGAGCATACCTTGGAAATCCCCAAAGAAGAGAAACTCTCAAGAATGCACAGGTTTCGCTACCGTCGAGTAATAGGAACCCTTCTCCATGCTTCCATGCGCAGGATGTAGATGCTCCACATCATGTTCTCGAATGCGTCTTCCTCCAAGTCTTCCCCGAGGACGCTCTCGAGCTGGACCGGTTCGTTTTGAGAACTCTGGCGAGGGTTTCGGACGAGAGAGAAGCGAGTTCCCCTCATGTCGTCTACTTCTTCGAGCATCGACGAACTTTTGACGATCTAATATCACACATCGACGACTTCCCTCCGACCTATGTGGAACGATTCCGAAAGAGCTGCGACAGACTGGTCGACTCGTTCTCGAGTCTCGGACACCACCTGTCGAAATGTCTTCTCTTCGAAATCACACTGAAGCTACTCATCAACTCGCATCGAGTTAAGTACTGCGATCACGCCAATGATTTCATTCTGGGCGAGGCTGTTTACCTCGGCGGCTCGAAGATGGATCACACCTGCGAATTCAGAAACGATATTTTCCAATTCTTCTGCGGAAATCGAATACTTTTCAGAGCCTTCGAAGATTTCAGCGAGTCGAATTCTTTAGAAATTCGAACGACTGACACATCAACCCAGCAATCTTATCGTCGACGCCAAGAAATTCTAAGACGGAATTATTGTTTTACTTGCGAATGCAAGCGATGCGTCGAGGAGTCCAACGAACCGCAGTCAGAGTTCGTCGATGAGCTGGACCGCCTTCTCGACTTACCGATGAACTCGGAGCGTAGGGAGGGAATGAGAGCATTAGAGAAGACCTATAGGAATATCCCGAATTCCCACAAGCACAGGTATAGATTACTATTCCAAATTTTCCGTTGCGATAAACACAACAGCATCGAGGCGGCGTACGCCTACGGAACTGCAGCCCTCGAAGGTTGTCGGGATGTCGCTGATCGACTGAGGATCTCCTACGGTATCTACGTCTATCTGATTTTATTCGGTGCCAACGAGTCCTCGCATGAGTACCATCAGAAGTTCAGGGATCACCACAGGTCCACGGTGGAAGTGTTCACAGATGCGTATGGTAAACACCATCCAGTAGTGGCGAGAATCGCGGCTGGGGACTTGCGAAGGAGAGCTAAAAGCGGGCTGCCTCCTCTGCCCGCGGCAACCCTACTACAAGGCACACGGAGCGCACGAGAGATTTCATGAATCATCGGATCCTATTCAATAAACTAAAATGCGGAGAACCAGCAGAATTTGGAGGCACGCGGGCGCCTGTTCCAGGGAATCTTCAGAGAAACGGAACTCTCCCCGGAGAGCAGTCGGTCAGGAATCTAGGCACACTCTCGAATATTTGGATAAGCAAGAACCTAGGACTAAACATATCTTACTCAGCTTCGCTTCCCAAGAACATCAGTATCTTAGAGTACGAAAATTGAAACGATATCGAGGGTGACTCGAGCAAGGTATCTGGTTGGCGACGAAGTGGTCTGACACCGGGCGATTGCCCTTCGTTCGGTAACCGTATGCCCTCCCTGTGAGTCTTGTTGTTCCGAAAGAATTCGAAATGAGGCCCCGGCCATTCTTGTGCGGAAACGATCCTTTACATCGATACCTTGTTCATGATGGCGGCGCTCCATGAACCTTCGCTTAGGCAGGCTCAATGAGAGAGTTGGCGCAGCCGCGCGTCAAGAGCTTTTTATTCGTTTCAGTGAAGTCAATTTTCGGATCGAAAGGACGAGAGGGTGATTTTTGTGGAAGATGTCTTCGAGGAGCTCGATAGTCATTTTCTGTATGCGGCGGAAAATGGCGTAGTTCTCGCTTCGAGGATGATTGCTGCCGCTCCTTGCCATGTCGTAACTCAGATGGTAGAGAATCCGTTGTTTCTCGTGGACCGAAGCGGCTCCTATTAGAGCCATGTAACCGAAAGCACTCGCTTCTCCGAAACAGCTGAGTCCGGATGAAATATTGCGAAGTCTCTTCAACAGAATGTGGTGGTAAGAATTCGTGACCGGTATCTGGGAAAAATATGGGAACACTTCCCGAGCTGCATCCCACCAGCTGTCGTCGGCAGGCATAGACAGGAAGCTTTCAAGGTCCTCCAAAAGTCGGGTTCCTGGGAGTTTGGCGTCGATCAGGCACCGGTTGCATTTGCACTTGAAATAATACTTTGAGAGCAGCAATCTCTGCCTCCTCCCGTAAGGATAGTCAAGCGCTATATAATGAGTGCGTATCTGTAGGGGATCATCGACGCTGAAGTCTCTCAACGCTTTGAGGTAGATTCGTTTCCCATCGAATAACTGGATGTAGTCGTCGATGCATTCACAGGTGTGGTCGATAATGGAGGCAGCGAGATATACGGCCGCGCCCAGCGACTTCCCAGTTCCCGAATCCGAGTCAATGATGCTATGAGCATTGATGCATAGCTTCAGGATGATGATCATTACGAGTTCCACGCTGATGTGAGTCTCGGAGCTCCTCAGCATCTTTCTAATGATTTTCGCGTAATCGAAATGTCTTAAGAGATCGTCATCCCCAATGTCGTCGATATGGCTCATCAAATCATCGAAAATTCTCCTATGACCGAAGTACTCTCCGATGGTATGTTGTCCGATATCTCGTTCTCTCGAGTATCGAGCTGCGGTTCTGAGAATCAGACGGGTGTACTCATCTGGTTGCTCAGAAGAGGTGCTCATGATTCTGCACTCGATTTCGTGGTCGTCTGCATCTTCCAGCTGTTTCAGAGGGTTAAACGGAGAGAACCATGAGTCCAACGGCGTTCGGCACATCGATATCCCTAGCGGAAGTAGCTCCCGAATTGTTGAAAACAGATCCCGCTCGGCCCCATTGAGTTGTACCCACAGAGATTCCCTCAGGATTCGCGGCACTCAGCCCCGACGGAGGGAAATTCGCAACAATCGAAATCCAGTCGTGGCATGGAAATTCATGACGAAGAAGCGAGTCATTCCGAATAACACTTGCGCAGCCCATACAGCTGCTTGTGTGATGCCATTCGCCCGGATAGCATGAGATCATTAGTGGGTAGACATTGTGACTCACAGTGAGCGTGAATATCCAAAATCGAGAGCAAGCTCGGAATTCCTTGCCCGAGTTGACACCAGGGATTCCGTTTTATTGCAGGAATTCTTCACGTCGTTGCAGATCTTCGCGCGGAGGGCGCTCCCGACTTCGGAGCGAATGCAAGAATTTTTCCACGCATTAACCCTCTGCGAAGGTCAGCTCGGCCTCTGGAAATCGTTCCTCCTAGCAGCCTAATTGGCTCGCAGCGGGATCCGTCTTCCCCAAGTTATCGATTCGGAGGCGCCTCTCCTGAGTTGCCTCGAGCGATTCTACTCACCTGACATGCTGTCGAGCAATAGGTCACCGTTCCACATCCGAAGCACCGATTGTAGTTCGCTCTGTTGCGAGGAAACTCCGAGAAGCAACAGCTACAAACGGAACCGAGGAGACTGTCGCTGACCACTGCTGAGTATGGCTCGTCGGAATGCACTACGTCTCCTTTCCGGAAGGATAGCATGAAGTTTCGGTATTCCAATCGGGAATCTCTTTAAGTATGACGATCTCGACAGGCGTCAATTTAGGGACTTAAAACTTCGTCGTTGATCCGAGTCAGCCTACTGAGTGTAGTTATATCAATGTCGTCAACTCCTCAGGCACCCAATTTCCCATCAGATGCAATGATGAGTAATGAGCATAACTCGAATGACAATGACTCTTTTTCGGTCGAGGCCTACCACCTCAGGTCACTAGTCATTACGCAAGGTCCTTCATCTCTGAAATCGACCGTCCTGCCGTCCAACATTCCTCTCTCTTCTCGCGAACTCCTCCGAGTAGAAGGCGGCTCTAGGCTGTTGAGACAGGCACCATCGGCAGCTCGATGAACGATGGTGAGGAGAGTCGGTGCTCCCTACATGATGGCCGACCTGAACGAGGCCCATTAGGAGCTGTAGACCCAAAGTTTTGTGATACACTCAGGTGATCTTCTCGGCCATTCCCCGGCTTACACTAGTAGCATTAGTGAACAACTCCGAGATAAATGCCCACTTGCAATAAATCTCTTCACCTTGACAGACTCCAGCCCTGATACTCAGTGCGTACCTGAACCATTTGAGCACTCGCAGCAGAGTTCTCGTCGACCTCGACTCCTCCTTTTCCTCCCGATATAAGCCCCTGCGCCTCGGAGGGCTTGTATGATAGAGGTATGCCATGGAGGGTGGCTCCTCTGGATGCGACTCCCGGTTGTCAGAGGTTTATAATGGAGGCAGGCTGGCTCTTCCCAGGAAGAGGCTTCTATGATTTCAATGTTTCCATGGACAAATCATAGCGTGCGTTCCCGCTCATTCATTCGCAACGAATAAATGATTCCCGACGCGACTATGAAATCTTCTCTCTCTACGCTGGATGGAAGTTGAGCCTCGTCCATGCACATTCGGATACCTCTGATGTGTCGCGGGCCTTGTGACATAGTGGGGCCTCTAAGAGAGGGATGCTTCTGATCGAGAGAGTTTTTTTAAATGTCGGACGCAATTTCCAGAAGGCTCCCATAAGACATGCTCATAATTGGGAGAGGCATCATATCGAACGTGAATGTTAGAGATCTTAGAATCGAGAGAGGCTTGAACTAGAGAAAGACTTTCACTGTCAGATCGCGAGGTGGAGGCAGCCTGCGTGGTTCCGGACGGGTCGGCCGACTGAAAAGCAACGACTGTGAGGGAACTTCTGCCACGAGAAAGGATGGTGTTCCGCTTCCCTCGCCTTCGGAGCTGCTGAAACAGCTGATGACTCAGAAGTCGGCCGAACCGTCCGCAGGTCTGCCACCCGACCAGACGTTCAAATTAATATTTTTGGAGCAGTCCGAGCCGATCGACGTGGTGAAAAGAGTGCTGCATTCCCCGAAAGCCATGTATTAGGACCTCGCTACAATGCGATGGTCATCTCTCCGTTGGCTTCTACTGTGCCAGTGTCCCACGCCCGAGAGCAAATCCCAGAAGTCCTACAAAGCACTCGGCTTCCGGAATCGCTTCTACCTCGACGCAACCCCGGCCCGCCAGGGACAATCGACGAGTTTGACATCAGACGAGTGTTCCTCCCTATCCGAAGACAGTCAGCGTGACGACGGTGTTTTCGTGGACGATAATATGGTGAGACAGGAGCTCGTCGAACAGCACATTGAGGTACGGGGTGCACCACGCATAACTCCTATTAGGACCTGTATGGAGAACGCGGGAATTCGCAGACAGATCTCCGATCCTGGTATATGATCGAGTGGAGGGTTGTCTGGCGAGCGACTTCTGGGAGGGAATTCGGGGGCAGGATTGACCGAATTCAAAACTTCAACTCATAGAGCTCGCAGGAGGGCGTTTTGCGATCTTATTCCATCGAGAAAGTTAATGATCGAAAAAGCTTCTTTCCGGCTCGCGGCTCGATGCCCGCGGAAGTCATCCAATCAATCTCAGATTCGAGTGAGAGAACGTTCGATGCAGAGACTTGGTGCAGGTAGCCAATCTCTGGCTCCCATTTTCCGCAAGGAACGGCTAGGGCTGAGCCGTGCACCTTTTGTGCGGAGGGAATCATTTCCATACGACATGATGAAGTACACCACATTGAGTCCCTGATAGAAACATTTGGAATCGACCAGCGAAGTCATCGATTCTAATTGGTTTGATTACCCGATGTCAAGTCCACAGCGTCCCGATTCCTGTCCGGCGATCTTGGTCGAGTGACGATCCCATCCGTCGCAGGCAACTCCGAAGAAACTCCACATTGCGTGACTTCGGTGCTGTGGCAGAAGAACGAAGCGCTTCAGACCGTAAACATGAGGTGAAACGGGCATCGCTCTCGCGGCGTTTTTCAGCGCTGCCCACGGATGAGTCATCGGCGGTAGTGCAGTGGCGGTCGTCATTGTTGCCTCGCCTTGCTTTGACTGGAGCAGCGGTGACTGACGGCCAGCCATCAAGCTACAGTACCTGGCAAGCTTCGATAAGAAGCGGTGAGTCACCGGGCTCCGAACAAGTTTCCAACTTCATCGACCTGCCTTGACTTTCGCGCGCCAGCTGCTGTCAGAGCGTTGCAGACTAATTCAGCTCGCTGTCCGTTTATTGACAGAAATCTCCACACCATTTCCTGAGCTTGTCAGCCCGTTTACGTCGAGATGAACCGCGTATCATATATTCGGACAGCAATGAGGGATTTTGCTTGCGCTCACTATCGTCCGTCAATCCGGGAGTCGACGACTCTTGTGTCCATTAGACCAATAGAGAGGAAGGGTCGCCGAAGGGAACTCCGAGATTCTAAAGCTCAGTACTCGGAGTTATATAAGTCATTCAGCGCGGTAAGAAATCCGGTTCCTTTGGTGTCTCCGGAGTCGGGTTTCTTTCCGATGGCTACTCTGCGGTGCACTAGCCGGTGTCGGAATTGGCCCTCGAGGCCCTCGGGAGAGGGTCCTCAAGCTTCGGAGAGCATACAACGGAAACTCGGCTGGATCGCGCTCATCGCACGCGATCACAGGGCCTCCAATACCGTATTCCGAAACTTGGACGGTCGCGTTCCCGAATAGAGCTTCCGGGGACGAAAAGTCCTCCTGTCCACGGAGCGTTGCGTGCGATTCTCGGAACCGTCTACCGATCCACTCTCTCGATGTGGCGAGGGAATCCCGACGATGAGTCACCGGGCCCTGGGCCCTCGACAACATCGCGGACAGAGTCTGATCAGACGCGGTCAAACGCTCCGAGCTCTTGTCAAAGGAGCCACGATGACAGTGAAGGTAGGTACCTACCTCCGAATCTCCCGAAAGCTTATTCTGCACCCGTTTCACCGCAGCCAAAGCCACTGCGATGCCAATGGTAGCTGGATGCCATGACGTCACGACGCGCCGTATCGCTGACACTAGCGCCAGAGTCGATCGCTAGAAAGCTACGTTCCCACGTAAAAAGTACTCCGGTCAAGCGCGGTCGGGCAGCATGTTCTTCTCAGCTGTGTGAGGCCGAGCGACCGGGTGGAGCTCACGGATAGGTGTCTGACCAACCAGTTGCTCTCCGATATTCTGGTGCTACTCCTGCTCTTCCATGGAGGGAGCTGCAGGGAATCTTCAGAGGAAACTTCGTCAGCTCGATCAGGCCGTCGCTCTGATCGAATTAGCGAAACAGCTCTGCGATGAAAAGGTGAAAAACAAACGGATCTCCTCGCTGGATGGGGCGAGTACTTGAGCCTGTTCCTAATCATCTGATCCTTCGATCTCGAGCCCGATCCGCGACGTGAAGTTCAGAGAGGGCCCGGTATGAAATGATCGACCGGATCGGTGAAGCGCCCGCGAAAGCAAAGAGCAGCTAGTGATCTGACTGAGCACCAAGGTCAGATTTGTTGTCAGTGGCGGTGTAAGTGTGTCTGTGTTTGTGCCGTCGTGTCAGTCTCGGATGCGCATAATCCGACGCCCGGCTCGGATGAATTGATAAATGTCACGTTTGCTTGCGCAGCAGAAGCAGGTGTGTTGAATGTGAGCCGTATTTTCTACCGCCGCGCCGCGGGGTCCGAGCGTGGAATTGAGTCCCTTCGCTTGCACTGATCGAGGCATCGACTTTGACCACCGTATTCAGTCACTTCTATTGACCTCGCTCTGTATCAAATCCTGAGTCTGTCAAGGGGAACAATCCTCGACTTTGAGGAGGGTCTTCGATGCTGCGCAATACTCGGAAGGGATCGGAGCTCCTCTTCTAGGAAACTATCGCTGAAAAAATCATTCATTTGCTCTCTTTCTAACCATTGCCGCGAGGAAGTTTTCGCTGATTTCGCCGGATTTTAAAAGAGCGCTGGACAGACTCGCTCTGTGAAGCGCGAGACTCGGTCCTATCCTGGAAACCGAGCCCTGAAGCACGTCGCTCCCGCGGATCGATTGAGCCAGACTTGAAGGCGCCGTCGAGGGCGGAGCACGGCGCCGCTATTCTCCATGGACAGACAGCTCGCGCAGCAGCCGTCGTTTCCGCTAGTTCGGCAGGAACAGACACCGACGAGCAGGCGGTCAGGAGGAAAGCGTTCTGGCTGTCTGGGGCGACTGGTAGCTAACAATCGGATATGCAAGTGACCAGCATTGTCACAACCGCTGCCGCATCCGTTTATCCCATGCGTCGTTCCCTTGTTTCCGTGAGGATCGGTCCGCTTTGGCTGGAGCATAGGATGTCGAGATGTATCGTATCCTATCCTACTCCCACTTTAGAGTCCACACACCAGGCCGGAGCTCTCGCTGTCGTGACGACACCGCAGGAATCGGTGTCTCGCGATCGATAGCTGCCGACGGCAGGTATCGCTTGTCTGCTTCTAGACAGTAACCGGCTCGGGTGGCTGTAGATGAACGCGCGCATGACCTCCACATTCCGCTCAATAATTCCATCGAAGAACGGCTGGAGGAGCCACACGTCGTCGAATGCGAGCCGGGCGGCGTTTAAGTACGCTGTTATGAATGACGAACTCCGCGCACATGTGTCTGAATGCTCACATCACACGCAGCCGTGACAGCTGATCGCCACTGGTGGCAAGTGGCCTTCCTCACTCGGACCCTTGTCATCTGCTAACAGCGGAAACAAGTAAACAAAAGATTATTATAGCTTCTGTTCTCTGGGAAAAAGGTGATAGTAGTGCGATGGCTTCGCGCATTCAGCATCACGCGTAGGCACTGGGGAGAACTCGCAGTCCGTGAGCGAACCGCATACTGCGGCTCATACGGAGCGATTCTCGATTTGTGAGTGATCAAGTGTCCCTTCGCAATCTCGTGAGAAGACAAGATCTGGTCGTCGATCAGTACTCAAGAAACGGAATAACGTTGCTACTTTCGACTGGTTTAATATACGCTTGGATAGTTGAGGTCGACGAGCTATTTCGGGTACGCCAGACTATCTTTTGCGTATTGCCCATCGAGATAGCGATCATGCCGTGAATGGAATCTTTCGAAAGCCGATAACATTGGAGAGCAGTCTAGGAGTCTGGGGCACCGCATCGCACTGCACCTGTCTTCAGCTACCCAGTGAAATTGGAAAAGGGGGAGCATTCGAAGAATCCGAAGGTTGACGACTGTTTCGAAAAACTGAGCACTTATCGCACCCAGAGCCAAGAAAAACCTCGTCGATAACGCGAGGGAGCAGCCTCTGACGCGCACTTTTCCTTCACAGGAGCGACCCAGCTGTCTTCCGGACAAGTTGACTCCGCAGGAGGTTCTTTTCACCTCCTCGTCACAAGGCTCCATGAACGCTTTGAACAATTCTAACTTGAACAATGTGAGTATATGCAACTCAGATCTGCGCGGAGCCCAAATATGTTCCCCGCAGGACGCGGGACAAAGCCTGGAGTATGTTCCCTTAGGTCCAGAGTAGATCGGGATTTTCACGCGGGTTGAGAAATTTCGATGATTCTCATATCCTGGCATATCACGACTTGGTTCGACCAATACTGAGCAGGACAGATGCGTTTGTCATAGTATCGTCATGTTGACGACACATCGTAAATCGCCATGCCAAAACACTACGTGACAACTCTCGCAAGGTCAAATTATTTATTCATACACTGCAATAATTCCAGGGCGATGCGAACAATAACAACAACAATGGGGAGCCGATGGACTTGAACGAGAATGATACTCGCTTCTACCAAGTCGAACTCGGAGACACCACGTTCACGGTTCTCAAGCGATATCAGGATTTACAACCTATAGGCGCCGGCGCCCAAGGAATCGTCTGGTGAGTGAAGTTTCTCCGACTCTACTCGTCATGGAATGAGCTCGTCAACAACTTGAGCCTGCGAGAATTTAAACCCGGGAAAGAAATGTGTCGCATCTCAACATCGACATTATCGGACACGTGCGTTCGCCCCATCACAATCTTGAGCCATGGATGTCTCCGTCGATCATTCACTTCGTCCTTCCAGCAAAGCGTTCGACGTCGAAACTTCACGAGAAGTCGCCATAAAGAAGCTCTCAAAACCATTCCAAAACCCTACTCACGCAAAACGAGCCTATCGCGAATTCAAGCTCATGCGACTGGTGTCACACAAGAACATCATTGGTGAGGACGCGTTCCACTATCGTTGATCCATGACGTGACATCGCTTATGCAACCGCCGATATGTTGCGTTCGATTCTTGCCGACATAGTCATCGAGACTCTCAATATGAATTTGCTTCCTCCCGAGGACTCCCGGGAAACTTTACTCGAGATGAGTCTGATGAGGAATAATTCATCTCTCTTCCTTCCCCAGGGCTCTTGAACGCTTTCACACCACAGACCTGCGTCGCAGATTTCAACGATGTTTACCTCGTCATGGAACTACTAGAAGCCAACTTGTGCCAAGTTATCAAGATTGACCTTGATCATGACAGGATGTCCTTTCTGATCTACCAGATGCTCTGCGGCGTGAAACATCTACACTCGGCGGGCATCATCCACCGTGATCTGAAGCCTTCGAACATTGTAGTGAGCCGGAAATGCAAACTCAAAATCCTCGACTTCGGTCTCGCGAGGACGACAGGCAAGGAGAGCTTCCTCATGACTCCATACGTCGTCACGCGTTATTACCGAGCTCCCGAAGTCATCCTGGGCATGGGTTACAAGGAGAATGTTGACATCTGGTCTGTTGGCTGCATCATGGGCGAGATGATCCGAGGAGCCGTGCTGTTCCCGGGTCGGGATCACATCGATCAATGGGATATCATAACGGCTTCGCTGGGAACGCCTTCAGAAGACTTCCGAGCTCGTTTGGGGGACAGCGTCCGCATGTATGTGGAGGCGAAAGACTTCCAGAAAGGCTACAGCATGGACGAGCTTTTTCCCGACAAAAGCTTCGTGGATCAGTCGCCAGAAGGTCGTCAGAAATCCAGCCACGCTCGAGATCTCCTCTCGAAGATGCTCGTGATCGATCCCGAGCAACGTATCAGCGTCGATGAGGCGTTGCTTCACCCCTACATCAAAATTTGGTGAGTTGCCGAGAATTCGCTGAGTTAGAGATTCACTGAACTATTGAATTACATGCTCGGCGATGATTTCTATCCGGATCACCACTAAATGAATCCGCCGAAGCTTCAGCATTAAACTTGGTTCCACTCGATAGGTACGAAGAAGAGGAAGTGAACGGCCCCGCACCTCAACGCTACAATCACAGCATCGACGAACAGGAACACTCAATAGACGAATGGAAGCAGCTCATCTTCAACGAGGTCATGCAATACCAGTGATTCAACGATCGATTGGGAAGTATCGTCCGAGACTTGGATTCAATCTCGATTCTTCGATCGTTGGGATCGTACCAAAAAGCTCTTCGGGGGAGCTTATCCCCATCGGGGACTTAATCCAGAGGTGGTGTTTTTGTTGTCGTCTTCGAGGTGTTTCGCTCGACTTCTCGCAACGATGTGATCAAGAAAAGGCAAGATGCGCTCGGAAAAATCCCGAGGCGTCAGACCACGAACGCAGTGCTCAGCTTTAGAGCTAGCGGTTCCGCTAGCTGTCACCTACGTAGAGTTGGATCGGGTGTGCACACGAATGGCGGAACTAGTAGGCAGGAGGGACTCGGGCTCCAAGCGCGCCCCCGGGCGGATCACACTTGAGCTCTTGAGATCGAAGAAGCTTCGCCTCCGATTAGCCGCGGGGCCCCAATTGGACCAAATACGCCACCGGTCACCGCAAAATGTTTCCACCGGTTGCACCATCAGAATATCTAGAGCGAAGCACTGACGATTAGGATCTTCCTTTAGAAATGCGCATGCGACTGCGCATCACCGATACTCACTGTTTTGACGCTAGTTGATCGGAAACACGTGATCTAGTGAATCTATTGTAGTCACCGCAGTCAATAAGGACTTTGGTGGTGAAAAGTCCAATTTATTCCGTGATATCATATGTAGAACGAGAGATCCCCCGTCCGAAGCCCTCCCTCACGGTCGACTCTTCTGAGCGCCTGGGAGGAGTGTCAAATGTTTCAAGGGTTCGCCGATGTCCCTAGACGATTGGGCTCACCCGATGGCAACAGCCGACATCGGAGTTGGAACTCGTAGCGACTAAAGACTCCCTGTGCAATATCTCGTGAGAGCCCGGTGAGCTCAAGATTCCGGAATTCGTTTTTTTCCGAAAAGTTCCATAGTCACATTCGAGGATTCTGATTTTCTAGCTAGAAAGACTGGAACAGGAATCGAAATTCCGTCCATTGCTACATTCAGAAGGGTTGGAATCACGAGCTTTTTGTTTCAAGTCGAGTTCACCTTCTGGGAGATACAATAATTTTGTAAGCACATACGAACACGTGGGATCGACAAATTAGGAATAGACACCTTTTATTGGGGAACCCGTTCACAGCCTCACACGAACACACTCAGGACCACATTTTCGTATGCAGGAGATCTTATGTTCGCTCACTTTGATTTGCGATGCACTGTACATAGAACGACTATCCGCAAGTCGGTGAGAAGCTCTCAGAATCCCGCCAGACGTAGGCGTGGAAAAAACAGATCGATTCCCAAATATTGTATGATCATACGAACGCATATTCCTGCGGCAACAGCGACGAGGCGGGGCTGTATAGAGTTCTCGGAGTAACGGGTATCGAAGAATGAAGGCGTTCAGAGCGAATGCCGCAACACCGTCGGATGCATCCCGTGAACGTTGCTGCGGACAGGAGATTCGAATAACTCCGTCTAGGAGGACTCGGTGGAGGAAACACAGATATGTCAATCCCTTTGAATAAAGGTGTCATAACGTGACAGAGATCTTGAGCCTTGCCTTTGATAGAAGATTCGATCGTTCGCTTCTCCCCCTCGATGGAAGGATCCGTTTCTGCATGCAGGAATAAGAGGGAACTCGAGTCCGAGCTACGGTATGGTGTCACGCATGTAAGCTCAATCTCTCCTCCAATAGACATCGTAGGCGAATTGAAAGCTGGATTCCGATTTCCTTGAAAAGCAGACGACCTCACGTCTTTGCCCCTGATTTCGGGAGGATCGCGGGTGATTTACTGGCTACCGCGGAAAGGAAAAGTCAAGATCATCATCTGCGGTGAAGATGGAAAAGCGGCAAGTTATCTCAAACGATGAGAAGAGCGGTTGAGTATTGGGAGAACACCTCCGCCTTAATCGTGGAATATCCACAATCTATACGGGAAACTTCTGCTATTTACCGAAGTTGACACGCTCGTGTGAGTATCAATGTTTGAAAAATTTTCAGACCGACGACAATGTATCCGGGTACATATTACCATTTAGGGATCCTGTGCCACAAAACTCGCTCAGTCAGTCACACAGCCCAGAATAATGCAGATGTCACTGTCATGGGATCGAGAAATTTGACGTCGGTGCCGATTCCTAGAGAACGGCATGCGTGGAGAACGGGAGCCACGACTACACTATGGTATGCTTGCTCACGTTCCCTCGCCCAGTTGAACCTGACTAGCCGGAAAGAATATCCTGCGGAATCCCCGACCCTGACCCAGAATCTGGAAAAACTGATCGTGTTTTTTTCCACCTCGGCGATGCGACTCGGAACGCCCCAGAGAAGCATGCATAGATCTGCACAACGCAGGCCGCAGAGCATCGCGAGCCCGAAGTTCGAGCCTCCAACACACGTAAGGAAGTCGCTCATTCGAATGGGTGGGAAGCAAAAGGGAGAAGACACTTTGCAGGAGCTAACTTATGTGCGGTTAGTCTCCGACAGCGGGATGTCGACGGCTACGAGGGGGGAAAGGAGCCCAAAGCAGGATCTATGGCGACCGGGAGAGCGAGAGTGAGCAAGCGGGCAGTCAGGGAGGCAGCGGCAGGACAAGAGGTAATTTATTGCAGACTCCACGACCACCGCCACCACGACCGACTCCCCAGCCGCCTACTCTTCTGCCTCCCAACTTCCTCCCCTGTTTCCGAGTCGCGACCGCTCAAAAAGAGGAGAATCTGGCAATTCACAGGATTGGTGTCATGCGCGAATGTCCTCGCAAGTGCCGAAGGTGCTTCACGCCTTCCGGATAATTGTGCTTTTCACTTCTGCCCCCCTGCTCCGCTCATCGCTTCACAAGGAATTCGATCTTCGAGCGAAGATCCTCCTGAAGACTCCGGCCTGTCCATGGTTCTCGGGACTGGCGCTCGGATCAGAGAAACATGCAAGCACATTGTTGAATTCACAACGAGGCCGGCATCATATCCGCGGTCGAGTGGGTATCCCATTTTCAGACAAATGGCTGAATGAAGGATGCCACGTTTATTTTAGAAATATACGCGCACCCTATAATCACGATACGATAGCTCGGCGCAGCTTTTGGATTCTCTGGAGGATTTACGCGTCAGACCTCGCTCGAGCCATACTGCTCCTCCAAGCTGGAGACCATAGGGCTCGTTCCAGCAGGAATGCTCGTTCCTGTTATTCCTCATGGGCCGGGGCCCTAAACGGGAGCAGTAGCTCCATGGCTACGAGTTCCGAAACAGGGATGCAACAGCTTGATTCCGCGTCAACGAATATCCGGTCCGAGTCTGGCGCATTCGGTGGAAACGCAGGAGCTGCGAGCTTGAGGCTCAGAAACAAAATGTGCGAGAGTGTCCCTCCGTCTTCGAACCCGCTCCGGTCTGTTCCACGCAAGAGGGGCCGCGCAGCCGCGATGACGACAATAGCAACGGCACCGGCGCGTTGCGCTATCTCGTTTTGAGCTATGGCCTCCCTGGGTGTGTGGGCTGAGACCCGCAGCGAAAGTGGGAAACTGAAGGGAATGTGTAGGATATGGGGCAGCGCGGACCGGGAAAACAGCGGGGAGAACAGGAGCCAGGGGAGGGGGCAGCGGCGAGAACACCGTTCTTCTCGTGTAGCGAGAGCCATTAAGAACGAGCAGTCAGAGGAGTGGAAGAACGAGAAGGAGGCATACGGTTTGATTTAGTGGTGCAAATAATTCTCTTTTTATATGATGTTTATATTGTAGCCATTCATTGCCGCATATTTATGGCCCCGGCGCTCCTCAGAAGCGGCGGCCGAAACCCAGCGAGCAAGCTATCCTGCCCAGCTCCCAAACATCCAAATGTCCTCCACGACCTTCTTCATTCCGTTCTTTCCCGCTAGTTTGCTTTTAACGGCGGGGTTGCCTTCTGAAGCGCAAAATAACGGAAGAAGGATCAAGGACAGGTTCCTTGATCCTTGGTCGTACCTCTTCCGGCTAGATTTCTTGGATCGATGGGAGAGACTTCTAGAGAACGTTCGCAGAATTCGCTTTCAAAGCGATGACGGGGGCACTTGCTGTTGTTGTTGCCGTCATTGTTGCTTTTCCGTCACATTCTCCGATCGTATTCTCCATGTTCTAACGTCAGATGCTGGTGCATCCCCTGTCTACGGAGAAGCGCGGCCGGACGAGCGGGGAGAAGATGAAGGCTGTCCATTTTTTTGTCTTGGATGTCAAATTCGTGTCAAAAAGTTGCCGCGGTGTTCCTTTGCACGCTCGTTCGTTGGCTGTGTCTTGGCTCGTCGCAAATATCCAACGTGTCGCTTGTCACAGCCCGAGCTCATCCGAACCGGGATCACGCACAAGAAGCAGGCCTCCGGCACAAGAACCAATCCGTCGGCCTTTGGGGACGACATAGCACAGCGGGCGAGCGGTCACACGGCCACCTAGGCATCCCGTCTGCCCTCCAAGTGCTCCCGGATGTTCCACCCGTATCCTCTTCGCGGCCGTCTCAAGCGGCTTGCTTGCGACGCTCAATTCAATTGGAACAGATTGGACACGACAGCTGCTGCAGGGTGATCGCCAACAAGAATCCCAGCTCCGACGCACTCACGGCGAGCTGGCAGGCGAACGCAAGCAGGCAGGCAGGCCGGGGGAACAGGTAAGAAGGACACGGCTAGCTGTAGCCAGCCTATAAACACGACCATGATCTCCATAAATTGACACATGGCGGAAAGATGCGGAAGGATCCGGGGAAGATTTCGACCCGTTATCAAGCGTGAGATATCGCCGTCAGAAGAGACGATACATTCTCTCATAGCGAGGTTCGAGAACGTCTGATATGGCGTCCCGTTCCCCACGACTTTTTTCTTCGGAAAGCGAAGCTTTTTCTTCCATCTCCTATGCTCCGGCTACCGCCAGGACATCGAACGGGGACGGTATGTCTCGTCGGGATAATCGGCGACTGCCTACGTCACTAGCTCAGGGCAGGACGCAGCTCCGGAATCTCCCGGTAATGAAGTTAATGCGTCGTGCCTCGCTGCGGTTTAAGTGGATATTTTTGAGCGTTCCAGTATGTGTATTTAAGTTCACGGAGGGAGCCCTAGAGGGCCAGAGATAGGCAGACCGAGCGGTGGGCCGAGGAAGAACAATTTGTTAAATATTCTCGGATGACTTTTCCATTTGGTGATAAAGCTCGCGACCGAGTTCTTCTTGCTGCCTGCTCCGGTACCATCGGGTTGTGAGTAGATTGGCTAGGGGTGGCGATGGTGTGCTACACGCATTTCGACGGTTCCTTCCTAATTGCTGTCGCAAAGGCAACGGATGGGCAACCAGGGCAAACGGCGGTGGGAAGACAAGCGCACGGAGGAACAAACGATCCGGCGGGCGGGAAGAATCATTAGAGGTTAATTTGGTCGCTTCGGTTCGTTCCCCGGCGGGTTCGTTGGTTCTTACTTAAAAACTGGGTACCGACCCGTTCCCTCGTCGCTCTGAGCGCCACCGTTTTCGTCCTCTTTTGCTACTGCTGCACAAGGGGCCGGCCGGCCGGTCGAGCGGGCGAGCGAGCGACCCAACCAGTCATCCACCGAGTGTGGGCGAAGAGCCACCACCATCTGTAAAAGACATCCCCGCGGTCGGAACGAATTTGTAATTCAAATCTC